GCCATGGAGCGCTTTAAAAGTTGTTACTAACACCTTGAAGCGCACCCGGAAGGCCACCGGCAGCCAGTGCAGCTCGCGCAGGAGAGGTGTTACATGGGAGCATCTAGAGGCCCCCAAAATCCCCCGCGCAGCCGCATTCTGAACTAGCTGGAGCCTCCGGGTACACCTCAAGGGGAGCCCCATGTAGAGAGCATTGCAATAGTCCAGGCGGGAAACAACGAGGGCTTGAGTGACTGTGCGTAGGGCGTCCCGATCCATAAATACCCTAATAATCAAGTATGTACAGTGTCATGGTTCCGACAAATGAAACTCTTCAAAGAACTTCGAGGCATTGTTTACCTTAAAGAATCTTTATTAGGGAAGCATAACGTCGGCACTAACATAATCGAAGCCAAAAACTGGATTCCGCTCCCCTGAGCACATCGTATCAAAGCACAATTCCCTCCTCCAATTAACAGTCATAAATCACATTCTCCAATTAGTTTGAAACGCAGGCTTTCCTTCCAGTCTCCAGCCTGCCAATTCTTATCATCTCTTATTTCAATAACTTTGATTCACACACTAGGTCTAGTATTGTTATGTCTAGCTAAACTCTCATGTACATTCCTCCCCCCAGCATCATCTAACTTTAATTCTAACTTTAAGAGTAAAACATAAGAAGAAAATGGTTGCATCTCCAACTGTTGTCAAAGCAAAAATATCCGATGTTAGCAGCGTTGACATCCAGCTTGCTACTAGTCATTCCATTTTATTTTATTTTCCTTCCAACTTTCTCAGCGTTATAGACTTTCTTTAGAGAGCTAGGTTAGACCTCAGTATAAAAAGCCAGGTACAAGTTAGCCAGTGGTATTCAGAAAGTCTGAAGACTGATATTCATTAGATGTAGATAATGCCTTTCCTCTTAAGAGCTCAAGGCTATTCCATCCTCCAGTTTATAAAGTGTAAATCAACTCAACAAGTTTATAAACAAGCCCAACAAGTTTGTGACGTATACAGTATGCTCACTTTTAGATTTAGTGTTTTTATTTGGCATGTTTTTCAACTCTGTGAGACACATTGGACTAAGACAGAATGACTGACCCAGAGTCTCCTAGCAAACTGTGACTGAGGGTACCATGCATGCGCACGTGTGCACACACATACACACACACACACACAACTAAGAGTTACAATATTTCAGCTCTGGGATTATCCTAATAGTCATTGAGTTAGTTGCAAAGACATCTTCGGTTATTCAATTTTTAGGAAACAGAATCTTCAGTGGAAAAATATAGAAATAGGCCTTTGGAAGGATTGAAAGCATAAAGCTAAATTACAATTAATAAGCAAGTAGTACTGGTTGATATAAGGTCCAAAGCTGATTTGGATAATGACAAACAGAGGATTTCATATACTGTAACAAGAAATCCTGCAGGAAAAAAAAGGTTGGGTTGTAGGAGTGAAAAATTATTCCCTTATATAAATGATTGCTATCTAAATACAGACGATTGTTAACTATTGTAGTACTTTCTATTGCGGGCATGAAACACTGGATCAATGTTGCTAACTTGCCAACTAATTAAAACCAGCTAATAATATTTATGCTTCTGGTTTCCTTATCAAATTCATCACTTGGCAGGAAAATACAAGGTATCTATGTGTCTCTGGTTTCATTTATAGAATAATTAGAATATGGTATATGGGGAAATAATAGACTTATTACTAATTATTTGTTGGAATATGGAAGCAAAGAGTTAAGTAGCCCCTTCCCCATCTTTTATTTATTTATTTATATTTAAATTTATATATAAATTTATATACCGCCCTATCTCCCTTACGGGACTCAGGGCGGTAAACAGGCAATAATAAAAATCACAGTAAATATTACATAAAAGCCTGCTCTAAAATATAAAACCCCTAACAAAACCCAATCAAAACTATGCCATCTTGTATTTCAACCTCAGAAATTTCAACCTGAAGAGTCTTCACCAGATAAAGATAACAGGAACTAAATTCTTACAGAAACCTGTATTTGTGAAATAATAGTAGCTAATGTAATCAATTCAGAGAATGGGAATTGGGGTGAGTTCTAGATATTGAGGGGTGCTTTTTTATTGTATGCTTTCCCACAAAACTTTGTTCCCCAACACAGCTGTTTGTCCTTCTGTCTGGTTCAAAACTATAGTATCTCAGTCTTCTTTTTTTTTAATATGCTCCATCACAATACACTGTGAATTGGAACTTTCATTTCCTTTTTGAAATTGCTGCTTGTCTGTGATATGATGCACCTCCGGCCCACACATGTTAATTTGAAGTTTTTAAATAGGCAGGAGGTGTCTGCAGAACCTGTTGGAGGAAGAGACTTCTACATAAGAGAAATCCAGACTACTGGTTTGGCACATAAGAACTCCAAAGTGAGCAAGCAAACGTTTCAGGAGATTGTGTGTCATCTTTGTTGTTCCAGGCACTAAGGACACAGAGACATTTAAGTGCATATAAATGCATCGACAAGGCCAAAATAAGTCTAATTGGTTCCATGGATATCTGAGTTAGATAATGCTGTCTGGTTAGTTGGTTGGGAAATATATGTACATACTATACATCAATGCATGTAATCTTCTGCTCATTAAAATGGAGACTGTGCCAAACAATTAACATTCGTAAGCTGGCTATGTTTAACATGCTGTAATGGTTACTGAATGAACTCACATTCTGGGTTTGTGGGATAAAATAAACCCAACAGTTACTGCATGGCCAGTAGTTATATTACGTAAGTCACCCACCATTAACCAAGATTAAAATTAGCTAAGGTTAGAATGTTGTGCAAATCCAACGGTGGGATTTAAAACTGACCTGCTTATGTTTATTGCGGCAGTCTTTTTGTCAATGTGTTTGCCATTTTGCAAAAATTGCTATTTGACAAAAGGACCTCAGGGAATTAATAGACACATCTGTTATTTGCAGCAAGATGAGTTGGCAGCGTACATAATTCTGAAAAAGAGAATTCCAAGTGGGTGGTAAATAGGAAGACCAGGAATGTTGTGAGGTTTCCAATCAATTGTCCATTTTTGGCTGTCTTCTAGAATCTCACCCCATCTCCTTCCTGAATATGAGTGAATCCATTAAAAACAAGATTATCACTGTGGAGGGATTCCTTCTGCTTATCTGTGCCATTGGTCCTGGCCTTTTTCTGCTATTCAAGGTGAGCTGTTTTTTCCTTCACATATTATTTCCATACATGCATATATAGTGTGACCCATTCTGAATCTGTTTGTGCATAGTTTCCAGTCACCAGATCTTCTTCTGCTTTTGATCACCATGTTAAAGAATATTCTGCTTTCTCGCAGAGGCATTAGCAGACAGTTTACAGTAATGGAAAGATCAACTGGTTTCAAAAGTATCATTAGGAGATTATTATTCTTGGAACTATATTTTGAATTTCTTTTGAACATTTCTTTCACAGTATGGGTATTACATCAGATCCAATTGGCAGTAATCTAAGTAACTATTCCTGTAACATGGATTAGGCAAGTTGTTAGCTATACACATTAGGAGGAATCTATAGCTGGTTTCTCAAAATAAAATTCTATTGATGCCTGCTTTTTGGAGAATATTCCTACAGTATTGCATATATCTTTCTATTTTTTTCCCATCATTTAATGCAAAACATCATATGTGAGTCTCAAACAGTTTTTCATCAGGGGGATGAAAAATTAGGCCCAGACTGTTACCATAAACAAACAAGATGCATCTTGTCTTAAATCTATGTCCTATTAACTGTCAAATATTGACAGTTGTTGTTATTATTATTATTATTATTATTATTATTATTATTATTATTATTATTTGTTGTTACATACCCATTTCCATATCAAAATCAGTGGACAGAACTTAAAACTGGACTTAGGAGATTAAGTCAGGACCAACCTACAGTATACTAAAACAGCTCCACAATAATTGATAGAGAAGTTGGCCATGACTAGCATAAATCCTAGTATAGTAAATATTGAATGAAATGGGATTTTTAAAAATTCTTCCAGTTTATAGTCCAAAATGAAGTTCTGCATACAAACTCTTCATTATATCTGACAGTTGAATTTACTCAGCTATGTGACAAGGCCTATTCAAACATCTGTTGTGGTTTACTATCTGCACATGAATAGTTTTTCCTGGTTGATTTTATTTACTTAAATTGTTTTATATACCCTCCTATCTCACTACTATTACTCTGGGCAGTGAACAAAGATTCAAAAATAATATATCTATAGCAATATAAAAATCATGTGACTAAGAGGTCATACAGAAGAATCTGGGTTCAATTACTTTCCTGACCCTCATACCTGGGCACAACCAGGTCTTCAAGACCTGAGCAGGTTGAGATCAACCTAATCTAGGGCAATATGGTTTTCTAGATGGGGGAAGGGGCACAACTAGATTGCTAGATGACAGTCCCTGATCAAGTGGATTCAGAGCATTCCCTTCCTAACCAACCTAACAGACTGGATAGAAATCATGGGAGTAAGGCACTTAGTTTGCCCTTAAGCATCCTCTATTGACTTGTGTTTTTATTTGTGTATAGTACAATACCAAAACATTTTATATTGATTTCACCAAAGTTGAAGTTAAATATAAAGCATAATATTAGTTGACCTTTTTAGTGAATCCTAGCCTCTTGTTGTCTTGTTTGCAGAAGAGATGGGAAAACGAGCGCCTCTTGCAGGCCAAGAACAAAACTTGTGAAGAGGAGAATCTGTATGAAGTAAGTCACTGGAGTGATTCATGAGCATATTGTAGAAGCAAGGGGAGGAAATAATGGGATATATAACAATGAAAACAGGGATTTCAGTTAGGAGACCTATTCTACTATAATCTACGTATCCCAAACTATAGTACAAGAATACATAGATAATAATAATAATAATGGTAAAGTTGGAAGGGACCTTGGAGGTCATCTAGCCCAACCCCCTGCTCAGGAAAGAAACCGTATACCATTTTGGACAAATGGCTGTCCAGTCTCTTCTTAAAAAC